GCCATGGCGCCCCCTCGGGGATGTTCCGTTCATTTATGAGTAAGTTGCCTCGTAAGCAGGGCCTAGGTGGCGCTAACGACAATCAAAATCTTGGTATGACCTTGACTATTTGAGTGAGGCCTCCATGAGTCCCAAGAGGAGGAGCCACCCTCAAACCAATTCAATGGGAACTTCCGTAACCACAAAACTAGTTCGGTGGACAAATGCGTTGGTGCCGACGAGAAAAATGGAACCCGCCTTGTGGCTTGTAGCTGGCGTACTTCTCTTTATCTATGGCTGACGTTAGCATAGAATATCCCCCCTTAGCATGAATTATTAATTAGTATGAAACAAATAAATTAATAATAATTTTTCTTAGCACATAATACTTGTACAATTGTGGTTATTTATGAATGATAAAATCTTATATATAAAGATAATTTGGAAGGCTGAGAAGATATTTTTATTTAAAAGAAAGAAAAGTAATTAGTTCGTGAAATTAGTATTAATAATTGTTTTAGCAATACGGATGATGAAGATTTTATTTATTTTTTGTGTATTTATTATTTAATTTTTGTTAACAATGTGTTGTAATGTTTAAAGAAATATTATAAATATACCTATCGCCTCTTATGTTTTTATAGTATTGCTGTAAGTTCATAAAAATTCGAATTTTGAAAAACGTGCGATTTTATGGAGCCCTTAATAATGAAAGACAAATGAGTCTACCGATTTTTTACGATATCTACCGAAAAGTGTCGAGCCGAAACCGAAATTCGATTTTCGGATCTGGCAACCCTGCGGCAATGACAGACTTGTCTTCATCTATGACAGACGACATGTTTATGATTAAAGTAAATATGGGTCGCAATGTCTTTAAAAAGCAGGAGATTCAGTAAAATACGTAATTGTGATTCTTAAATAGTTTGAAGCATATTTACTTGTAAGAGTTATTTATTTTACATCAATTTAAGAACTAAGTGATAGTACCATGATTTTGTTTAAAAGTAGAACAGACGAAGATCCTCTTAATGCAATATGGTGATCTACCCTAAAGACCGCGCTTTTGTGGGAAATATTTCGATAAACATCTTGTCCACTTCGCAGAAAAAGTACAAAAACTTTTTTCTTGCAATTTTGCTGATTTCTGCCTTGATAGTTGGTAGTCTGCCGTTCATAAATTTCTCAAGCATTGAGTCCAAAAAGTTTCATAAAATTAAACTCGACATCGTTAATCATCCCCCTATAGTGAATGTAAAACGAAGTGCCAATGTGGAAAACCCTAGGAATGCAGAATGTACCCACTGGGACTGTTTTAACATTTACCACTGTGGACATACCGGTCACGACCGAATAACAGTTTATGTATATCCTTTAGAGAAATATGTAGACGAAAATGGAGTGCCTGCAGTTGAAAGTGTCTCCAACGAATATTATAGTTTAGTGAAGAGTATTGTGGAGTCCAAATATTACACAGCCAATCCGGAGGAAGCTTGTCTATTTGTTCCATTCTTAGATACTTTGAATGAGGATAGAATTGACTTGAATCTGACTTCCGTAGTCTTAAATCAGTTGCCTTCGTAAGTAATCGCTAAAATACGGTATTTTTCAAACTATCTAATACCTATAGCGCTAACTAACTTAATGCAATTATTTCATATACAATTGCCTGTTTTGTTTAATGTAGGTGTTTTTGTTTCATAATCTTTATAACTAGCAATTGTCTAGGAAACTAGGCCTTCGCGTTTGCGGTTAACAATATGCTCACCTTATAGGAAATCACTTTACCAACAACTTTTCCTAGTGGTGTTTTTTTGCGAATATGCGTTTTTCCACCACTTTGTGCTCCTTGAAATTCATTACTTTTCCACAAGATGCCACAATATTCAGCCATACCGCTTTCTCAGACCATCACATTATCAAACCGATATTTTCTTTATACCTAAGTGTTTAACTTTTTTGTACACATTTTGTAGGTATTTGCAATAAGTTTTGGTTCATTTGTTTAGTTTTTGTTAGGTTTGATTAGTATTGGATAGATTAGTTAACAGCTTTTTTGTTCTTTTTAATAATGTCTATATTTTATGCCTCTATGTCAACTAAAATGGGAATTTACCGACCAAGCTTTGCTATTTACTTTGGAGAAAATTTGATTTGTGCATGTGCATTATTACCATGGTGAAAATTTGATAACATGTTCTAAAGAAGGTATTGAGTGTAGCATGAGTGATAATTATGATGGCGTCCTTTGTTATCTCATGAAAAACTAGTGTATTCCAGTTGACAGAAACCGCAGTTTTTTCAAAAGCCCACTAATATAACTTGTTGGTATAGGAATTTTCTGTATTACCAGCATATTGTTAGCCGCAAAAGTGCGGACATGATCTTCTTGATAATTACCTTCTCATAAATCGTGGTAAGCTGATTCTTTACACAGATGGTCAAATGGAGAAAATCACATTATCTTCAACATGATTTCTGGCAAGGCACCGAATTTCTACCCTGTGCTGGATTTGCAATTGGGAAGCGCAATGATAGCTGGAGCAGGCTTCCATACACATAGTTTTAGGCCAAAGTTTGATATCGCCATTCCAGTGTTTAGTCCGATTGCAAAACTTGCTCAAGTTGATAAGATTGACCATCCCAGGTAACAATAAATTGTTCGTTTAATTTTAGGAATATGTAGGTATGTTATTTATCAGTCATGAAAATCTTCATGCAGCAACACCCAAATTGCATGTGGCTTAATCATTCAGTGGATTATTTTTCAACGGCTGTTTTCTTACGAAGTAAACATTATTTATTTATGTATATATATTTTTATTATAATTTTTTTCTGGGTTTCAGTCAAAGTGGGAAATAAAAATTTTCATATCGTTTATTTCATATAACGTTTCGAGCGAGACAACAGCGCCATCATCAGATTTAAAAATCAACACAAACCCATAATTGGGAAACATTGTCTTGAAACCTCACATTTGTTTTGTGAGGTTTAAAAATGCCTTGACATTGCGTAAAAGTCCGTGCGTAAAAGTAAAACAAATGAACAGTAAAGAAAAGTGCTTCTTTATTTTAACTTCTTCTTCATCGCTTCTGATCGAAAAATGGCACTTTTAGATTCATTCGAGTAAAAATATTATTATCCTATTAGTAATTGATTTTATTAATTTAAAATTACTGTCAGTAATAATTTAGTATATAATTTAGTATTATTGTGGAGCATCATAGAATTCATGTAACTACAGTTAACTTTTCTTCGTATTGTGTACAAATGCGCCTCAAAAAAGGATAAATATGTTTTGATAAATGGGTGTAGTTGAATATAAATGTGGTTTTTCATTCTGATCAACTTTACTTATAACAACTCGATATTATCAAAAATAAAAGTATTTTACTCTTGCGAAAAATTCATATTTTTTGACAAACCTGGTATACGCCTGAGAAAACAACATATGTGTTACTTATGATGATTTTAGGTTTTAGAACATGCAGAACTTTTTCTGAAGAATACAATTTTTGTTAAAAAGACCAATAAAAAGTTTTCTGAATGCTTAAAGTAAATTAGCTATTTGTAAGCAAACTAACTGTTTAACAGCTTTATTTATTTATTTATTTATAACAGCAGAATTATCTTTAGTTTCCTAATAAAATGTTACTGAGATCAGTTTTTCTCTCACACTACTGTTATTTATACATTTTATTTATAGAAATTATCATTTAATGAAACATCTATTAATTAATTCTTATATACAGGGTGATTCAAAATTCGCGTCATTCCTCTGGAGGTGTTGTCTGGGGGTGTCTTGGGAGTACAGAAAAAATAGTAAAATAAATTAATTGTTATTAAAAACTGAGAAATTTGCAAAAAACTATATCAGAAATACGGCAGCAATGTTTTTCAAGGTAAACTCCGGTAATCATGGAATTATACAGAGTGACAATAAGATAGACAAGGATAAACGGTAAATTCAACAAGATAGTTGACTGCGGAACGTTCTTTCGAATTGTCAACCTGTTCTCATAACCTCGAATATTTCTGTTAATAAATAAACCATACAACGCCAAACATTTGAATGGTTAACTCCAAACAAGCTAGTGCCTGTGTAATCTCCTTATTATCCACTCTTATTAAGCAGCTTCTCGTATTCAGTTAATCAACTCCTGCTCCATTTGTATCTCCTTGTGCTGTGTGTATCGTACAAACGTAGGAATGTAGCCCTTTTTCGGTATTTATTTGGTGCTTGGGAAAGTGTCAGTTATTGTGCTCTGAGTGCCCCTGGAAGGCACTGATTCTATTATGCCCAATACTTGTTCCTTTGTGTCTGGAACCCGAATATCTATTGCCGTACACTATCTTCCTGGAACCACTCTCCTCGCCCTTTGTTGGCGTGAGTTTTTTCAGCTTCTGCTATGTTACTGTAGCATTTCCCCTGAACTAATCGCAGATCCGCAAACGTCGTGAAAGGAAATTTAAAGTAAGTCACAGTTTGACAGATTATTGTTATTATTGACAAGGGCTATCCACCTGTAACCATCTGTTAATGACAAAAAACATCATTGCCGCTGTGCCTTTTCATCAAAAAATTATAGAAGAGAACTTTTTTGATATCAAAAATTTTCGTAATTTGAAGCAAAGATCGTAATTTTTCTTTTTGAATGCTTAAGTATTCCAATATACTGCCAATTAAACATGGAACAATTTCAAAATAATGCTTAATAACAAAGTTAAAATTCGATCTTCAACTGTTAATATCTTCTAGAAATTTTCGAAAAAAAACATTTTCAATATTTTTCTCGTACTCCCCGAGGGAGCCTCTATCACCCCTTAGAAGGAATGACGCCAATATTGAATCACCCTGTATAAAAACAGGAATTTTTTTGACAGGAATTAAAGATTTAAATCTCATTTGAATGTTTGTGTATTCGAAAGAAATATGTGATACTTACTACAACCAACTCTGTATTATAAGTCAAGCTTTACATCAAGTGTCCAAATTTTTAGAACTTGGAAGCTTGTTTCATCTCAATTAAACATTGATCCTTATTTCTTGGATGAACTAAACATTCTTAATAAGCATCACCATGGGGAAATATTGATCATGGACCACTGCAAGGTCAGGAGCTACACGAGCCGTTGTCAGGTGGTTTCTATGACCAAGTTTGAGTATCCAAAAGTACTAAAAAACTCCACATTTTGTTTGGTATTTCGAGGACAGAAAATGGGCCAATTTGTCCTGTTGGAAGCCATGGCTGCCAGCTGCATACCTGTGATAATAATGGATGGATATGTTATGCCATTTCATGATGTGATTGGTAAGTTTTTGTTCATATTCAAACAAACATTTTAGAGAAATATTTTAAGGGCTCGCATTATTATGAAAATGTCACATATACCCACAATATTATAGTAGATATTTATCGCACAGGCCAGGCCAATAGAATAAACTTAACGAGGTTCATCTGCTTTGGAATTAGCAACCACATGTGGGTGAAATAATCAACACACACTTATTAATAGAAGTGAAATTCCCTCATAAAATTTCAGCCAACTAGGGTACCTATAAATTTTCATGATTTAACATGGAATCTTATCAGTAGTAGGATTTTGTGCTTCTCTTACTTGGAATACACAGCAATCAACAAACAGATTTTAATAAAACTTTGAGAACTATTACAGTAATATCCAGCCTTTCAGGTTACGTACCTGCAAGATAAGTAACTAATATGTGTAGGATTTGCTATTTCAAAGGCAGTTCATTTTAACATTAACAGTAAAAACACCAAATGCGGTTACCCAGCAATATTTTCGGTTGACAGTTGAGTAGTTGTCAAAATAGAAGGAAGGCGAAGACGAAGGTTCTTGGTGAATTAAATGACGCGAGACGAAAATAAAAAGACGCGAGAGACGAATATAAAAGACGTAAAGGCGAGTGATTAGAGAACAAGTGGTCGCAAGTGGCTGTATTTGGCGTTAATGGATTGCTATAGTTAAAAAGGCGTTTCAATACACCTAGACCACGAAGAGAAAAACTTACATATGTTTTCTCTTAGCAAATGCTGTGAGCTGCTGCGTAAAGCCTAGTTCTCATTAGCGAATTTTTGGAAAAAAATTCCGAATAATCGGACGATTTGACAGGTGTCGGAAGAAGTTGAAATTATTCCAACTTTTTCCGATTATTCGGAAATTCGGAGGGATTTTATAGGTCATGCAAATTCAACGTAATGTTATTACAGAACACATTAGAGAGATTTTCCAACGAAGACCGGAACAAGTAGCGTATTATAATTTATTCAAGAAATGCGTCTTCAAGATCGAGAAAAACATTTCAATTACATGAGAATGTCGAAAGAGTTATTCGATATTTTATTATCAAAGTTATCAATTCAAGTTATTGGACCTCATATTACTAAAAACTGTAAAAGTCGAGATCCTATTCCTGCAGGAGAAAGATTAGCATGCACTTTACGATGTGTACACTTTCAGTGTAGATTTTATTCATTTTTTTCAATCTTAGGCTCAAGCTTCAAGCGTGCTTTACGAATTACCGAAACTTCTTGGTCGAATTTCAAAAATTGAATAAAATTTGCACACTTAAAAATTATTTTCTTCGTTTCTTTAAAATTAAATGTGCTCAATACATATTTGTATATAATTACGTAAATTTATATGTTTCTGGTTTCGGGGGATAGTATGGTTTCCGTGTCCATGCATTTCGTGTGGGCGGAAGAATTCGCAGATCTCCAACCAATAGAAACACTTTCGTATCATCATATCATCATATAAACGGATGCATGAGACACAGCCTTTACTTCTGTGAATTTATTGTTCGTAGCAAGGTATATTTTGCCCAACTACATTAAAAATCACTGCACCTGTAACAGCTACCTTTAAAATGATGTAACGCTGGCAAACACAAACTTAATACTGACCTAGAAACAAAATGGGAACATGTAGGTATATGTATTGACGTTATTAGAAAAAAAACACAGTCATAAATGATAAAAACATTTATTATAGCAGAAACAAGAAAAACAGTCATAAATGATAAACATATTTATAATAACAGAAATAGGAAAGAACAAAGTACACCCTATAAACGATCAACATATATAACAGAAACAGGACAAACAGACGTATAAATGATAAACACGTAAAAGCAAAAACTTCAAAAGCATGTAAAAGGAACAAATAAACAAAATTATTGATGTCAAAATCTGCCTTTCTATAAAATAATAATACGAAAACGACTTATACCATTTGGTGCAAATTTTTGGATGTATTGATCCACTATAGCATTGTTGCGGCTATCTTTCTGCGGCTTAATTTTCGATTTATTAGAAGCAAAATATATTTTCACATATTATAAATAATACATTCCGAAACTACCGTTTTATTACATATATTCGTCATGCAAAGGGCAACAAATTATTGAAATGTTTAAGATTCCATTAAACATTTTTGACGTAGCTGCAATAGGAAAAATGTATTCTATCATATTCTAAACAATTCTAAGTTTTATTGTTTAAAAGATTACTTTCATTCTTTACCCCGAATACGTCTTTCCTGCAACTCTTCCAATTATGCTCATAACGTTTCAATGTCCTCCTCATGCTGCATAGCTTGTAAAATAGAAGTTGTTTCCTTGGGGTCATTCTGTTCCTGCTGGTTACTCCAATCGAATGAAGCAATTCGCTTCTCACATGGCGCGGTAAACCTATTAAATACTTTAGAACAGCGTTTTCTTAAACTTAAGAAAAAGCTTGAACCTACTCTTACTGTAGTTATTACATTTTAATGATTATTAAAACTTACCGATTTCACTATCTACATTATGCGTAGGCTTCGAAAAAGTTGATTCTTGTTCCCGTTCGACAGAAGTAGAATCATCATGAGAAGTTTCTATACCTGATAAGTTTTTTGTTATTATAAACATTTTTTCTGTCAAAAAAAGTATCTCTACCTGTGTGCGGATGTGTCTCCGAATCACTAGCCGATGGCATGCAAATGTTAGGAGCTATAAAACTTTTGGGAATAGCTTTTGTCAGCAGCCTCTTCCTTTCGGGAGTTTGTAATTGAGATACTATAACATGGTTATTGCATACCGAATAACAGTAGTATGAGTTAATTTAGACAATGCTGGATTATTCACAACGTCCATCCAGTGTTGAAACATAATCGCACCATGAGGAAACACGTGGAACCTCACATCCGGATTCCCGTTACGATTTTCGCACGACAAAAATGCACGCTTTATGATAAAGTCAATGCATGATCTGAAGCAATAGATAAATAAGTCAGTGGTATATTTTCCCCTAGTTAACTATATTTTTTAGCACAACTTATAGTATGAACAACAAACTATGAAACAATCACAAGATCACTAGCAAAATCGAGTCCAACACGTGTTCTGCAAGCAGTAAAATGCAATGCAGCTAAATTCTTGTTATATGGCAACTGCTGATCATACATAAAGACGTGCTGCTGATTACAGTGATGATTAACGACAGCCACATGGCGAGTTTCATTTTTCTTCCCGCCAACAACGCGCCTCTTGCATTTGTTATGCCTTATGTTATATCCTCCATCGACTATAAACAGAAATTAACAGATATCGTTTAAATATACCAGAGGTACATATTAATAGATAGAATAGACCTTCCTCTTCTATGAGGTTTGATATGAAAAGTGCGGTGTACTTTGACACGGAACACGTTGAAAAAAACAGAACATCATCAAAACTATCAAATAATGTGTTTTCTCGTAAACTAGTCTATGAACTCGCACATGGTCGCTGTCATCATTATCAAATAACTGATCATTACTTAACACATTCATCATAAAATGGTTTAGTTCACGGAATATACTAATTATTATCGGTTGATAACGACAAATGGGCTTGTTTGCAACAAAATACTGCAACTGCAAAATTATGCAATATCAGTTCTGTTTGAGGTGACTTTAGGTTCCACTTAAGCGGCACTTCATCTTCCCCTTAAATTATTTGCCTGTTACGGTTCGCCTTAACGCTAGGTGACAGTGGTGCAAACGAATTCTGTCACTTAACTGTCACTCTTATGTTAAGGTGAGCCTTAGGTTCACTGGTGCAAATGGCTGTAAGAATCAACAGTATAGATAAAGACAATGCACGTAACCAAACCTCTAACGTGCTCTGACCATAGAGAAAATGAAATAGCATATACGAGATTGCCTAATTGCAATGTTGGGATTGTGGCAACACCGTAGGCTGAAGAGTAGTAGTTGGCACCTAGACTCTAGTTGAAACTTACACGTTGAGCAAAGTTTCTAATGGATAGTTGACGATTTTCAAGGAGCAGGTGGATTGTTTCGCGGAGTATTGAGCTCAGTAGCGAGATTTAAAGATTTATTTGAAAAATAGGGAGTAGTGAACAACTAATTAAGAACACAAAATCGGGTAACTCCGTGCCTTCTTAAATACTCCCCTCTATTCTGCTTCTCAGTAAAAGATTCGAATACATGCAATGACGAACACTTAGTAATAATTCGTAACATGGACGACGGGGGAGAGTCCTCTGACCCTCCAGAAAGGGGCAGAAATGCGTACAAAATTACCCATTTCAAAGACACAGATGTAGAACCTTAGATGGTAATGGAAAGCACGAAACCAGACGTAACGAGCTTATATCCGATTAAATTAGGGCGAAAATTGCAGGAAAGCAATGTCGCTGACATAGACAAAATAACTAGGGAAGGAAAAAACAGGCTGGGTATTGAATTTTTGACATCCAAATCAGCTAACCATTTTGTCGACTCTCCACTCGTAATTCAAGAAAATCTAAATGTCCCTAATAGTTTGGTCACATGTAGAGCGGTAGTAAGAGGTATACCAGAGGATATGTCCCCAAAGGAAATAGTAGCGAGCGCAAAGGCAGAAGCCCAAGTAATAGCGGCTAGATATATCAACCGACGGAAAAAATGTAGATGGACAGGTAAACTACGTACTTACGAACACGGTAATTCTATCCTTTGAGGGTCAAAGAATACCAAGGCACGTAGATTTTAATTACTATAGAGCTAAGACCCTCATTTATATATCAACTGTATGTCAATGCAGGAACTGCCTGAGGTGTGGATACTACGGCTCAATCTGCACAAGTCAAACAAGATGCGAGAAATGTCTGGGAGAACATAAGAAAGAACAATGTCGTGCAGAAACTCAAACTTGTGCTTATTGCGATAGCAATCACTCTTCACTAAGCTGCGAATGCCCAGAAAGTAAAGGCAAAGAACAATTGAGGAACAAACGGCAACGTATAACATACCATATTTTGAAGCCAGAGCTAAATGCCCAAAAACATACACGTCCCGACAAAGCAATGATACACTGACAACCAAGGGGATAAGAAATAATTAGATAAACGAACAATTCCATAGGCACCCGAATAACTTTCCAAATACGCTGATGAATCACCGTCAAGAGCGGTACATAGAAATGAGCGAACGACGTCAAGAAATACAACGTCAAAGAACTACGAATCAGAGAACTTACGCCCATACAGTAACATCAATGAGTGCGAAAAGGAAACCCCAACCATCAAACAAATCGCCCATAGGAAGGAAACGAAATCTACTAGAATTGACGTATCCATCCGGCCCAAGAACTCCCAGGTCAAACCCTCACTTTTCCAGTATTTAGAGAAAAGCAAAGAACCAATAGGGACCATAAACCTAGCGTAATTGGTGAAAAACATTCAAGAAGAAGCACACAAAAAGGTAGACGAGTATATACAGACCCTAAACTTTTAATGAACCCATACAAAGCAGATGTTGTCATGATTAACGAAACTCACCTAACACCAAGACATATCTTTAAATTATCTAACTACACTATCATTAGAGAAGATAGACATGATGGAAGTGGCGGTATAGCAACTATAATTAACAAAAACATTTCTTTTCATAGACTGCCCATCCAAGCAAACCTTTTGCTTTTTAAATGCCTATAGTTTTTTCAAACTATAGGCATTAAAATAGAAATTCTGAACATCGTAAATTTATATTGTCCACCAAGCATAATGCCTAGCAGCCAAGACTATATAATTTTTTCTCAAACATTTGATGGACTCACAATAATCTCGGGGGCCTTCAATGCTCAACATGAGTTATGGGGATCGACAAGAACCAACACAGCAGGACGAAACCTATTGAATGCACTGGAAAATATAAACATGGTCATTTTAAATGACGGGAATAGAACTAGGCTGACACCAGCAGGGCTAAGCTGCCCAGACTTGACGCTGGCAACTACAGATATCGCTCATAAACTTACTTGGTTCACACATGGCGATTCCTGTTTTAGTGACCACATACCTTTAATAACTACCGTCGTAAATCAGCTTCCGACCAGAGAGGAAACAACACATAAAAAATGGAACACAAACAGGCAAACTATAAGAAGTACACAAACACACTAAAACTAGAAAAGTGTCCACAGACATATCAAAGCTGGATAAATATAATAACTAACTAAATCTGCAGGATTCAGTCCCTAGAAGAACAACTAGAATAGGAAACACAGGTTACAAAGCGAACCATGGTTAGAGAATCTACTGAATAGCCTCACAGAATCAGACAAGCCCATCCTTCAAACACACAACAGATAATACAGAAACAGAGAACGGCTCTCTCCCATACACAGAGGAAATAATAGCCTGAAACAACACCAGGAATGGACGACATACCGAAGAGTTTCCTGAGGAACCTACCGGACACACACATTGAATATATCCAAAGGCTCTTCAATGGAATATTAAACGCTAATACAGACATTCCAGAGGAATGGAAACACCAACTAATAATTCCTGTTCTTAAACCAAACAAAGGCCCAAACAACCACACAAACTATAGACCGATAATACTAAGCCTTCAGAAACATCCGAATAAAGGATCGAAACGTCTCCCATTTTTAAGTAATAAAATGAATTTTTAATCTAGTCTCAAAACATGATATCAAAATATATTTATTAAGTTGTGAGGACGCCACCAAACACGTAAGGTGTTACTTATCATATTATTTGAAATTTCAGAAATTTGCGCTATAATTCCCTGCCTAATGACCTTCTATCTGTTGGTGTTTTGAAGGTTCCATTGATAATAGTCGAGTCTGAATTACACTGCAGTGACTAAACTGAAATGATTGCAACTAATTTTAAGAATCAATCAGTAATATTGTAGTGGCGTCCGGGAAATTGGGGAGAAAAGGAGAACGTTAAAAGAAAAGAACAGAGGAAATGTCCCTGCTCGGGCGCCATTTTTGTAATGGCGTCCGGGACACTGAAAAAAGAAAAGAAAACGGGGAGTTCGGGAAAACTTGAAAGAAGTACAGTAGAGACGTCCTTGCTCGGGCGCCATATTTGTAATGGCGTCCGGGGAATCGGAGAAAAAGAAAAATGTTACTCCGTGAACTTACCTTTCAAATTTAGGATTTAATGCTGGTAACCTAGCATGTTCAGACTTGAAGGGGCTTTCGGAAATCTCGGGCGCCAGCTATCAGGATCAGGATTTACGTGCTGATGGCCCCACAGCGAGGGTAGCTTTTATTAGTATTAGTATTGTAACGGAAATGGCCTGGGGTACTTACGTTTGGAACGGGGGATCGAAATTCATGGTATTTCAGTAAATGGGGCCCAAATGGGGCTCCCATTTGGGCCCCCTGTCAAATATGACACTGACAAGCGGGAAATTTTGCACCTGGGCTGGAGATTTCGAGAACTTTCTGGGTTACCTGGAGGAAACTATATAAGCGACGACGAGAACCAGACGGAAGGAAGTGAAGTGACAGCAGCGTCCGAGTGCAGAAGAGGTTAAACCCCGCGAGTCGGAAGAGCGAGCTTTCGGTCTGTTATTGTTATTGTTTGTGATAATTTGTGTGGTAATTTGGTCTGGCGTGTAGTTGAGAGAACGGTGAGTAGAGCGAGAGGACTCTCGGTGAAGGCGAGAGAACTCTCCGTGAAGCCGAGAGAACTCTCTAAAACTGGCTTGTGCTGGCCCTTAAATACCCTTTTCGCGTGTCTCCCTACTGCCTAGTTTTTGACTTGGTAGTAGGAGCTCTTCATGGTAGTGTGAGCCTTTTATGGTAGGGATTGTTCTCGAAAATTCGCGGCGTACGTGCGCGGTATGGGTGCGGTTGAAAACTAATATTCAAAAAGTAAATAACTAGCTGGATACCGGGGGCCCTAAAAAATCAACATTTACATATTTTTGGCTGAAATTTGCGGGATAGAAAGAACCTTTGGTCGACCTTCGATGAAATCGTTCGCTGAATCCGGCCTGGCATTCAGCAATTGCTACAATCGCAAATACAATCTAACACGCAAATAAATATGCTTTTATTGGGCCCTTGAAAATGAAAATTTGCCTGGCGTTGGTTTTAAATTAACCGGAAAGATAGAAAATTTTAGTAACCTTTGTTACAATATTTAGTATTCTTGTTTTAATATTTTTATTAACTGATGTTTCTTTTTAGACTGGAATCGAATTGCCATATTTATAATGGAGAGTCATATGAGCACCTTAATTGACGTAATTGACGAACTGTCGAATAAAAAGATTATGGAAATGCAAAAATCTGTGATGTTTGTGTACGAAAAATATTTTTCTTCAATGGAAAAAATTGCTTTAACGACATTAGATATAGTCCAAGATAGAGTCTACCGCCATAAAGGAAGAACTTATGATGAACTGAATTTATTACCGTCTGAAGTAAGTTATCAATTTGTAAGTAAATGTCTCTGTAAAAGCTCAATCTTACTACAATTTTAGATAAATTATAATCCTCTGTACTTCCCGATAACAGCTTCGCGATCTATGGGTTTTACAGCGGTGATTTTAACTTATGATCGTGTTCAAAGTCTTTATACTTTGATCGAACGGTTAGCCAAAGTTCCTAGTTTAATGAAAATTGTCGTTGTTTGGAATAATCAGAAAAAGGATCCTCCTTCTAGTGAGTGTACTTATTTGTGGTTTTTATTATGTTGACTTATCTAGGTCATTATTATAGTGTCACAATTTCCAAAGATTTCAAAAGCAATGAACATTATTAAAACCAAAGCGAATAAATTATCAAATAGATTTTATCCTTACCGGGAAATAGAGACTGAGGCGATTTTACACATTGACGACGATATAGTAATGTTAACTTCAGACGAAATTGAATTTGCCTTCGAAGTTTGGAGAGAGTTTCCAGACCGAATTGTCGGTGAGTTGTTTGAAGTTCCTTTAACTAAGAATTCATTGATAACTATTAGTTTATTCTTACAAGGGTTTCCTTCAAGAACGCACTTGTGGGACAATGTAACCAACTCATGGAAATACGAGTCAGAATGGTTAAACGAGATTTCTATGGTTTTGACTGGAGCAGCTTTTTTGCATAAATACTGGAGTTATTTGTATACGGTCACATTGCCATCCAATATAAAAGACTGGGTAGATGATAATATGAATTGCGAAGATATAGCCATGAATTTTCTGGTAGCAAACACTACCAACAAACCTCCAATAAAAGTTAGTATTTGACTGGTGCTGCCTTACATTTTATATTAATCGTATCTATTTTGTAGGTGACACCGAGGAAGAAGTTCAAATGTCCAGAATGTGTCAACAATGAAATGTTATCGGCTGATATAGGGCACATGGTAGCTAGATCGCAATGCGTTGATCGATTTACGAAGATTTTTGGCCGCATGCCCTTAAAATCAGTCGAATTCCGAGCAGATCCCGTTTTGTTCAAAGATGTATTCCTGGAGAAACTAAAACGTTTCAATAATATAGGTAGTCTGTAATTATGTGATGTCTAGGATTATGAGTTTGCCCTGTATTATTGTTTATATTTGTCTATGCAGCTCGAACTAGTGTTTATAATACAGTAATGTATGGAACAGAAAGGTTGCAGAGCCTGTTCGGTTTGCCGAAACTTCCGGATTACAGAATTTCTAATAAATGATATCTATAATTCGAACACCTTCGGTATATAAATACCCAAGTAGGTGCCTTTCTTAACCGTATAAGGGGGTACATACTATGTATCACAAAAAACACTCAATGGCCTTTATTTAAAAATATTTATTTTTAATGAAATCTAAATAAACAAAAACTTTTATATATACTCCCTACGCTATAACTATGGTCGCACGTCATCAATCGTCTGTCGAGCGCTTTTGCGGTACCCGCCATAAATTATACAGAGTAACCGCCGCCATCGATATCTGGCAAACTGTAATTCGGAGATGTTTGAAAATTTCAGTGTGCCGAAGGAATTGGGGCAAGCGATCTAAAGTATTTTCAAGATGACCACACTTCCGGTTATACCGGAAGTATGTTTCAACTTGCTTATTTGAAATGGAATATATTACATTTTTAAATTCTACTCTCAATTCTAAATATATTTCATGGGTAATATCTTAGTCTAACCTATTATACCTAAGTCTAACCGATTTTGATATATTTGAAATTTTATGTAAAAAATTTGAGTTGCAGCCATTTGATTAACTATTCATTCCTCCTATAAGGGAATATGTATATAATCGTTGAAAAGGACTTACTTTCAGGGAATTTCGACATTTGATAACTATTAGTACAAAGTGTTAAAAAATTATTAGGATAAGTTTGTGTTAAGTTGTCTATTACAAAAGTTTTTAGTTTTCGAAATATTGTCAATTAAATGTTTTTCATTACTATTTTGTCGCATCTCATTTTAAATGCATTCACTCTTAGTTGCCATGACGGGATTTTCCATTTTCAAAACAAGAAAATGCTAAAGGAATATTTGCACTTACCGTTTGAAAATAATTAATAATTATGCCTGGACGCTTAAATTATTTGAACTTATTATTTATGGAAAATGTGATAAAGTTATATAAAGAACATCTGACACATTTGCCATTCGATATCCACAAAAACAGAAGCCTTCAGGCTGTGCTGTTAAACAAATTATAGAAAATTTCAAGAATTTTGAATACGTCTAAATAACAGTGCATTGTTCTATTTATCAGGTCAACTAGAAGCTGTAGAACTGTAGCTTAAAAAAAACTTGTTTTTGTTCTTGATATAATTATAATGGATATAATCGGTATTTACGTAACCAGTAGGATATGACTACTATTAACATAAGTGCGTTACTAATATATTATCCTACGTGTTACGTACAATATTTTATCTACAACTATAATGATTATTTAAGTAAAAACAATTAGTTATAAAATCGAATACAGAACACACGTAATAAAAATTTGTCATTGTCATGAGAATCATTGTCAAAGTTGCGTCTTAAAATTATACCTTTTCTAATGAGTTCCAGCGATGATCTGCCATGTGTAATTGAGAACGAAGCTTTTAATGTTGTTTCGGATCTTGTGCCAGGGAAGCCACGGAAGAAATATCGGGAGGCTTTTGATCGGTACCATAAATGGTCCAGTGAACGAGGTACCTACTCAACTTAACAAGCGCGAATGGATATTAGTATATTTTAACAAAGTAAGCAAAAGAGATAAACCCTCATCCCTTTGGTGCTCGATGTTCTTTGAGTGTGTATCTTCCGTTCACTGCGCCATTTCTGGTACTGATCAAAAGCTTCTTGGCATTTACTTCTTCCGTGATTTATCTGGCACAAGATCCGAAACAACATTTAAAGCTTTGTTCTCAATATCAGATGGCAGATCATCGCTTGAACTTATTTTAAAATGTGCAATTTTAAGTCACAACGTTGACAATAATCGACATATTTATTACCACACTATTGCGGTATTAAACATCATTATGACATTTGAGAGGGTGCCAAGTCATAGTGATTTTATAACAGTTGTAGATAATACTAACTAATAATATACAGCGTGTAACAATGATTTAGGTTCACCCACTTCTTTCGCCTTAACTCAAAAACTACCGAACCAAATTAGCTCATCTTTTTAGGAAATATGGTATATGGCCAGTAAACTTGTGGCGAATGTCATTTAGACAGCTTTTCTTTCAAACACACAATCATTGTTTTTTCAAATGTACGAATTATCAGACAGTAACAATGATTTAGGTTCACTTGTAAAAATCGTAAGTTTATTTAATTTTGTCCTGATTTTTTTTGTTTTATAGTGTTATTAGCACGTTTTTAGAGCGTGGGAAAGGCAAAAGTATTAAATTACGAGGTGAAAAGTAGAGCCCGAGCTTATAAACAAGTTGGAATGACCCATCGTGAAATTGCTCAGCAGATTGGCCATTCTCTCAACGTTGTGAACAATTTGTTCCGATTAGGCGACGAATACGGAAAGAAGAAGGCTCCGGGAAGAATCCCAATTCTCTCGGCACGCGCAAAAAGACGGATTAGAGCTGCAGCAGCAAATTCAACCAAGGGAACCCGGCGGCTTCAGAAAGAATTTGCGCCAAATGTGTCGCATGAAACGGTCTGGAGAGCTTTAAAAGAGTACCCCAATCTTTATTATGAGAAAATGAAGTCGACTCCATCGCTAAGCAAAATCAGCTTCTAAGTTCTAAATAAGCTTCTAAATGATCAAGAGTTCTTTGAACAGAGTTCTTGATGCCGACTATCTTCTGTCGAATTCTTGTTAGAAGAATAAGTTTAATAAGTTAATTGGCCTTCGCAATCGGAGTTGTGATTTTCTCCTGTAATATTAGCAACGATCTCTTCATCTTCTGAGATTTTTATACCTAAATTTTAATACTCCAACCAAGACATTTGAAGGAAAAAGAGTTTCCATGGACTTGCTTTTAAGATTCCGCTAACGCAAACACATTATTTTTCAGCGACACGTTCTTCAAACGATGCACAATGTTTTATCTTCTTGTAAAAGTACCTCCTGCTGTAATCTTTTACGATATATGTAACTTACATTTTGGATCACATCCTGGTTTATCAGCTAAATCAGGGCGTTTCAATAGGGTACTTACATAAAATTTATTTTTGATTGCGAACATACTAGAATTCAAGCTTTGTTGCATATAAGTACACTACAAAAAAAAATCCCAAAACGCCGGCACCACGCGAACCAAATGGCGTTCTGGCGCGCTAAATACAATTTGAAATTTATTATGCTTACCTTGAAAGTAATGTAAAATCGAAAAAAAATTGTAGAAGAGTTAGTTGACCACAAATGAACAAAAATGTGAATGAACAACATTACTTGAATATTACCGTCATGGTTGGCAGTTCTTGGTCTGGCCTGTGGCCTGAAGCATTATCCAATAATAAACGAGCTTTCTCTTCAAAATTGCTGTTTCGAAGATGCTTTCTTACGCTTTGTGCGAATTCATCGTGCAACCATTCCTTGAAGATATCTTGATTAATCTTAACTTTTCTGGTTTGACACCAGACAGGTGGGTGGATGTTTTTGAATGGTCTTGGATTTTTTGATTTGCCGATCACAAGTAATCGCACTTTGTGTCGGCCAGTTGCGTTTGCTTAAGACACAAATGCAATTCGATCTTTACTGACTTTTACACCCGGTGCACCCTTTTCGTGTGTATGTACTGATATCATTTCAGGCAGGCAGCGCCAGTATCAACCAGATTAGAACCTAGAAAGTGTTCCAAGGCAATTTAGTCACTCGACAACATCTCTCCGGTAACTTTCAGGGAGCATATTCCAAATTTACGCTTGAAGCCATCCTCTACTAGCTTCGAAGTTGACTCCTTCGCCATATTTAATTTCTGTGAAATACTGGCTTCCTGGCCCTATTTCAGTACGCGACACATAACAAGGAATTTCGGTTTTATCTTTCTTGATATCGAATATTGTTGACTTGTCGAAATTAAAGCGTACAGCCAGAGACGTGACCGAACATCGAGACTCTAGCTCACGTAAAATTTAAGCTTTTTGTTCAAGTGTTAATGTAACATGGTTTCGTTTAGAAGCCATTGTTTAAGTTGAATATGAACAGCCATCAGCGTACTGACAAAACAACTAAACGGCGCGAGTTACATATGTAGTATCCGCCGATACTGCATGGGAACCGCTGACACAGCAGCCATCATCCGCTGGAAGTCATCAAGGTCCAACAGTTCACACCTGAACGTGAGAACTGTTGACAAAAGACTTTAACACAAGTTTACATTTTTAAGTTCAGCAATAATTATTTCATTCTTGCTCTGAATTCTCAGCTGACTAGTTGTAGTACAGAAATAAACCTTTTTTAAAAAAGTCTGTTCGTCGTTTAACACACGCAATTCGCGTCACCTACATCCAATACAACAAAATTCAGTGTTCAGAGTATGGATATCATTTTACAAAATTGGACATTCGGATTACAGTGTAGTGCGGCTCATAGGGGGTTCCGACTATGCATACATTACTGTATTTCACTTTGGATTTCTACTTATTAACGAATGGTTGTATTCTTGTTTCTGACGGCCGATTGCACCGCTGCAACTTAATCCAGCGTTTATTTAAGCCATAGTTAGTTATTTTAACCTGAGGTAAAAATATAATGTCTTGCACCGTTGTTTTGAAGGCTAAGATTAAAGATAAACCAGGATTTAGGGATTTTTATTTTATTTCATGATTTTTCATACATATATAGGGTCGGTCTTTGGAAGCTTACACTAGAAGTATCTGATTATCTGAAATATTTTCAGGTCGATACTACTTCCGGTTATAGGTAAGTAGGTATTTCACTTGCTTAATTTAAATGGAACAGGCATTATTACATTTTTGGATTCTCTGATTGAGTGAAATTGAACAAAACCACTATTGAATGTAACAAAATACAATAAAACTATATCGTAAAGTACAATATAACTCTAAGGTGGAATAACAATACAAGGTTCTCTCATTTTACAACTCTTGCCGATAGAGGCGCTGGTGTAGGAGCTTCCAAAAACCGAAGTAAGTTGAATGTATTAAACCGGCGCTACACGATGCGTCGAACATTCGTTCCAACATTGGACCGAACATTTGAGTCAAAAAGTTCGACAGTTCGTGCGGCAAATGTATCTGCTACACGGTGTGTCGAATGCTTGAAGCAAAATTCCTATTGAATTGTGGTTCAAACGTTTGTCTACATTCGTCAATATGCAGGATACTGCTGACGCTGCAGTTATAGCCGCAGGGGTGCGAGTTTTTAGTTGTGTGATTTGTTTACTCAACGTCATTTTGAAACTCATTTTTTAACACTTTACATTAATAGTTATCAAAATTTTGTCGAAATTCCATTAAAGTAATTTTCAACAAGAACGCACGCAATTCTGATTTATTTTCCTGATTGCGTGTACTTATTAGGATATTCTTATCTTT